TGGGAGCCATGGGGCGCACTTGGGAATGGAGGCCCTTAGGGCAAGAAACAGACAGGGTCTGGGTGCCTGCTCCCCTGCCAAGCCTCGCTCAGCCCCTTGACGGACTTCCGCAAGCTGCTGGAGTTGGGGCTTTCTGCCACTTCGTCCTGACGCCCGGCTCTGATGGCGCACTAGACGCTCTGCAGACATTGTCCGAGAAGGCTGCTGTGGCCCTCCCATGTCCCAGTCCCTGGGACAGACCTCCGACAGGCTCTGCCCTTGCCTTCTCCCCAGAAGTGACTTCATCTGATTGGTGAGTTTGGGGTGACAGGCAGTGGGTGTCCTCACACTTCCTTCTGTGTCTTCTCTGCTAACTTGCAGAGGGGCAGACCCTACATGGTGCAGCCACTCTGATGGGAGGGCCGAGGTGCCCAGCGGGGAATACCCTGCCCACCCGTCTAACTGCTCACCCTCCCCTTAGCCCATTGGCTTGTTTCTCAGTTGCTCAGGACTCGGGTGGAAAAGGGCACGCCGTTTATTACTCTCACTCCCCAACATCAGCCGTTACCTCGGACTTGGGGTGCAGGGGCCAGAGCACCACAGACTACGGAAACCCTGTCCATCCCGCCCCCAGGCTGCTGCCCCCAAACAGGAGCGTGCAGCTGGACATGGGCCCTCTGGCTCCGAGCGTCATCTGTTTCTCACTTCCCTGGAGAAAACCGCCACCCTGGGAACAGCCCTTTCTGACCCCATCCTGGGCAGCTGCTGGGTCTGGTCACGTGTGCAGGCAGGGGACACGGCCGGGTCACTCTGGGGTGTGGGTGCTGAGGGCTGTGCCCCAGGCCCCAGTTGAAGCTCTCTTACACACGCTGATCTGTAAAAAGCCAAGGGGGACAGTCAGCACCACAGGCAGCGTGGATGGAGTCCCTGACCACTTTACTGCGACGAACAACCACGCCCCATGGCAAAGACAGCTGGCATGGAGGCAGGGCAGGGATCGGAAGCTGTGTCCTACACAGGGTCTCAGTGGGCGCCTCCCCTTGGCTGTGCCAGGCAGCTGCAGTGGCCCTTCCCGCAGTCCTGGCTCTGCACTGTGGGCACCCCATGCCTGGTGAGTAGCACTCTTCAAGGTCTGCCCGCTGTGGGCTCAGTGCACAGGTGGAGGCAGGGCCCCACCCCGTCCTTCACAGGGCCCCGCCTGCCTGCTCCTGGGCTTCCACCTCCCACGCCCTGCACCCCTCACCTGTGCCCATATCTTTGGGGAGCTGCCCAGTCTCCAGGAAGAGCCAGAGGTCACTGCATTTCTGAGACTCCACCCTGGTCACCCCATAGCTGGCCACGGAGCCTGCAACTGGGGAGGGAGGCAGGAGGGTGGTGGGCTGCAGGCTCGGGCTCTGCCGTTCTCGGGGAAGGAGACCTGGGTGTGGCTCCTGGGCAGATGTGGTGGGTGGGCTCTGGCAGTACCCATCCCTCCTGAGAGTAGGGACCCCACGCTGGACGCAGGGATGTCAGAATGCAGGCCTTGTGTCCAGCAGAACCCACCCCAGCCAAGCATCTCTGGTGAGTTTCCAGGGCCCCAGTCAACCCACCGACGGCCCCCAGCAGGCTCCACTGCCAAGGATACGTAAACCTCCTCTGGAGGAGCATCTGCAGGCCGAAGGTCGCACTGCTGCCTGCCAAGCAAGCAGGGTCCCATCAGTCTGCCTGCCCAGGGGCTGCCCAGGGACCTCTGGGGCGGCAGGTGACTTGGCACCGCCTGCTGGGGAGTCACAGCCCAGGACACCCTGGGACACCACGCCCCAGCCTACCTGTGACAAATGTGAACACTCCCTTCATGAAGGCCCCGGACTGGCATGCGGCATATTCCCAGAGTCCCTGGGATGGAGGTGGGGAGCTGAGGGCTGAGTTCCCCACTGCCCCCATGCCCCTCCGGGCACACCCTGACTTGGGAGTGAGACTGTGGCCATGTCCACCCAGGATGCCCCCACCCCACAGCAAAGGGTCCCTCTCCCGCACCTCCGCCAACCCCAGGGCCGGCAGGGCAGCTCCTGAGGCCTGGGCCCGAGCGTCAGGACGGCCTTCTCACCGGGTGCTTGGAGGCCACAGCGTCGTCCACTCGGGACAGACCTAGGGTCACCTTGGCTGTACG